ATCAAAGATTAGATCCAAGACAGATGTTATGAATTGGGAGAATGGTAGTAGGAAGAGTTTAGCCGATGACATGGATTATAGCAGAAGAGTGTTGAGGGTGACTAATGAGTGATAGGGATTGAGTATTTATTGAAGTTAATAATAGGTTTTTTAATATAATGGTTTTGACATTTTGAGTATTAAAAGTAGTCTGCACGTGACTATTATTTCACGTGACTATTCTTACATAATCACTATCACGTGCCTCGTACTTTCTCTTGTGGTGTCCGGATGTGTTTCTTTTCGTTTGTATCATCACCACAATTCTACGCCTTTTTACTTGGCACCTTTCCAAGATTTAAAAAGGATGAAATCCACTTTTCCAACGAAGCAAGTTACCAACCACAAGCGCTAACCAAATATCACTATGTCAAACTTATTCAGAGACAGCTACACTTTGCCAAACTTGCCATCCATGAAGCTCATGGCGGATGACTACCTCAACCCTTTGGATGAGAAGTCCTTACAGCGTCATGAATCTAAAGCTACAGAGTCTTCAAATGATTCAAACTCTCCAAACTCAAACTCACCACAGTCTTACACCTCGGTATCATCTGTTGATTCTCCTCCAAACAACTCATCTTCTAATACCACCCATAACACTTCTATAGATTCTTCAAATGGTTATGCAGGGTTCACTAGTTATAACAACAATAGTGTTAACAATAATAACTACAACAATAACTATTCACATGGTTCCACTTTCAACAATACAAACTATACAAGTAACAACTATGGGTTGAACAACAACAATTACAATGCTATTCCATCATTAGGTTCTATTTTGGATAACAACAATAATAATAACCAATCCATTTTCACTCAACAACCTCTACCTTCATTACCTCAACCAAAAGTTTTGATACCAAATTCAAACACCACTGCTGCACCAGTTGAAGCTCCAAAGAAGTTGAAATATTTGAGAAAGAATAAAGATGATGATCATCAAGGTCCAATCATGTGTAAATGGGGTGATTGTAAAGAGCTTTTTGTTAATGCTGAGATGTTGTATAATCATTTATGTGATGATCATGTTGGTAGAAAATCAAACAGAAATCTGAATCTAAATTGTGCTTGGGATGGTTGTCAAGTTCAAACTGTTAAAAGAGATCATATCACATCTCACATTAGAGTTCATATCCCATTAAAACCATTTGTTTGTACAACTTGTACCAAGAAATTCAAAAGACCTCAAGATTTGAAAAAGCATGTCAAGACACATGCTGATAAGGTTACAAAGCAAAAAAATCAACAACAACCTCAACAACAGATTCCACAACAACAATCATACCCATCATTATCAAACAACTTTGATATCAATTTTGATACTATGTTGAATATGGATTATGAATTACAAGATCAATCACGTAAAAGAAAACCAGAAATGGTTTCTCAATTTTTTGAAGATGTTAAGAAATCCAAGATTCAACCACGTTATAATAATGATATGATTAATAAATTGAATACTCTAGATTTCAATTTAAATAATGAATTATCATTACCACCATTATCATCTAAATTCTATAAATCAAACCAAGAATTATATGATACCAATTCATTTTTCAATCAATTGTCAGCTTCATTGGATCAATTCCCAACCACTAATGCACATTCTTCTATTAATAATTCATTACCACAAGTTAAATATGAAAATTCATCATCATTATACCCAACTCTATCAAGTGGTGCTTCTAATTTTAATTATCCACAAATTGCCAACAGATTTGATTCATTGAATGATTCTCAACGTCGTTATAACATTGGTATTAATCAAAAGAGTAGTAATGTTGAAAAATTGACATCTCATGAAGATGATGATGAACAAACTTCAAGTGGATCAGAAACTGAAGGTGATTATGAAACTGAAACTGAAGAAGAAGAAGAGGAAGAAATTGATGAATTAACTTCAATGGTTTCCAAGATCAAAGTTGAAGATTCGAATTTGGAAAGACATCGTGAATTGATCAAATCTATTCAAAATAAATTGAAACAGTTGATTAAAGAAAATGAAGTGAAAGAAAATGAGGAGCCAAAGAGGGAATTGTATCCAAGTATTGCTGCTCATTGAGTTTATGTTGTTCATGATGTGGGTTAAAGTGTTATAGGATATAGGGATGTATGAATTTTTTGATTTGTTTTCGTTTGGTTTTTAAGTTATTTATTTATAAATTATGTACAGTGTTGAGAGTCTCTAGACTTTTATTATGGGATGTTTTCAAGTTTTGAATTATTCATGATTGTAGAAAGAATTTAAATTACACTTCTAAATTTTAATGTTCATGATCTTCTTTCTCCGGGCCACACAATATTTGTTTACGAATTTCATGAAAAATATGAAATTTACTCCTTTTTCTTTCTCACTTCTGTTCCATTCATATGTCACATGATATTCTCATAAGGCTCATATTTTACACATCCTTACATCTTTCACTATATTTAGCTTTTACCAATTAAAGGTGAATATTCCAGTGATCTACACATTCTTCACCAACCAATTCCATTATAAATAGGAGCTTTTCCATAGTTCTTTATGTTTATTTAATGTCCTTTTAGGAGGACCAGAATCTACCCGATAAATCTACACTATATCATACAAGTGTTTTCCAAGTAGTATTCTCGGTTCCCATCAACTAATCATAACCCAAATTGAGCCTAGTCCAATCTAGTCTCCGTTGGTGGTATTTCCTGTACCAGTTTACATCCATAATTGGTACACTTCTTACAATAGATCCATATTCTGGTCTTCTTTCAAAACCTTTTACTGCTTGAGGTGTTGGGCCGTTAAAACGTGACATAAAACATAAATAGATTATTGCCGATTCCTGCATCCAAATTCAAGAAAAAGATTTTAGTTATAATTTCTGATCATGGTGACATTTACTGAACTAGTCAAAATGTTGTACTCCAAGAACTTTTTTGTTGGATGTATATTCCATTTTTGATTAGCGAATGTTAGTGTGCTTGTATACTTTTGCAGTGATCCAGAATGGATACTGTATTGTTAAGAGCATACTACAACTTGCTCTTGATAGTCCTGGACTAGTCAAGGAAGTTGACAATGTCATGATCATCAACAGAATACTATTTTTAGATATACGTTTGTGCTGAAACATTGCATCACTATATTAACTAATAAATATTCAATGCTTTTACTACACCCCCAATATGTTAAAATTAAAAACACGAAGAGCTAGAGTATAGGACCTTTAAATAGCGTAATGTTCACTGTACAAGTGATTAGATAGATTTTAATTACTATAAATCCCCTTCTACAACACTTTGTCAAATAAAATTAGTGATATTATTGAATTGAATTGTATAATTGTGCGTTTTTTCAGCTCAATATATTTAAAACAATCTTTAATCAAATTCAAAAAAACAGGTACCAACATCAACGTTGTTAATGAATATATGACATTTAAACCATATAATCAATAGCAGGATGTAGTATCACTTGTATAACACCAAAAGCGCGTCAGAACTGTATAGGAAAAAATTGCACGGCAGTTTCAAATACCGTAAGCTGGGTATTAGCAAAGCAGTCAAGGATACCTTGGATATCTTCAAATACTCGGCGTGGTTTGTAGCTCATACAAGCAGATAAAGATCCAGCTAGTTCGGTGAATAACTTGTGTCAATTGATTAAAAGGCAAAGCAATCATCAGAGAACCCATTCCAGATAGAAGGTTTATGAAGGTGATTGTTGAAAAATTGCAGTAGATTGAAAGAAAATTTAAAATTTTGAAAAACATTGTTGGATCATCAAGAAAATACGGACAGCTAAATTGCTGGAATTGATAATATTACTATTAAAAGATTATTTCAGTACATCTAGTTGTTGATCAGTACACACCTTTTTTCAATTTTTGAAAGAAAGGAAAATTTTGTGCTACACTCTACTCTTGCTTGGAGTCGACATGAATTATTACTCTTTTATTGTTTCTTATATTTCCAATGTGCTGATTGTTTCTTACGATGGTCTTTCGGTCAAGATGTTCTGGAGCTGAAACGTTTAGAAAATGATCAGCAATTATGTCTGTTGGCATGCGTTTTTCTTGATTTATGATTTTTTAAGATCACATAGATAGGAAACAGTAAACACTAGTCGGGCCAGATTTTTGACTAAAAAAGAAGTGGTAGTACATATGTATAACCAAATGTCAGCCAGTTGATTCTCAATTTACAATTTATCTGATAATATCTATCAGTTTGTGATCATGATATGATAATTTGATAATGTAATGAGACATGTTTCAACTATTCAATTATATTTAGTTTGATGGGTATTGCATGTGGATGTTGAAAAATACATCTCTGGTATACTTTTTTAATGATAACTGATAATATTTTATACTGATAAATGATTTTGTAGCTCAATTTTATTTGAGAATTGATTATTAAACATCATAATCAATTAACTTAAGAGTAACAAATTGTATTCGAAATAACCTCTAGACTACTGATAGTATTGAAATGACCTTGAACAGGACAAGGGCACAAATCTCGAAAGAGACACTATCGAAAGGGCTATCAATATCAATAACATCCAGTCTGTTTTCAGTATTTTCGTTCAATTAGACAGTGCTGCTCTCGATTAACTAGTTAATGGTTTCATCCTGGAGTAAGTTAAGGCCAATTAAACTGTTTTTACTTTGTTTTTGATTTCTTTGGTTCAAATAGGTCAGATTGCAGCAGCTTTAATGACGAATACACGTAACAATACTCACCTCAAATCAGCATTAATACTCTCTTTAACGTTGTCAACGACTGTACTTAATGCGCTTCTATACAACTGAGTCTGACTTTTCACAAAACACATTCGCGACAAGGTGAAAGTTCTCAAAAAAATCTGTTCGACTTCGTTAAAGTCACAAACTTTTAATATTACCATATTACCATCATCAAGCTTGTGTAGCACTTGGGTGAAATGTGTCCTTTGTTCTTACAAAATAGTCTTTTACATTGTACACTGGAATGTTAGGATGCTATGATGCAGGACGTGTGACCACTGTCTAAGAACATCAGAGTGTTAGTTTCCAGTTCTTTAAATTTTTTTTTTGTCTTAGCTGATTATCTCATAACTGAAGTCTATTGCTTGATTGATTATTGATCTATGCTTTATTCATTCATGTTTTGATCTTAAACTCAATTGAAAGGATTCCTGTATGTGAGTGTTGAAAAAATACACTTCTATAGGCCTTTTACTTGATCAATATTATTTCTACACTGTTTCAACACTTTGTAGTCTACACACTTTGTAGTCTACCATACACAAACCAGCTCAAAATATCAACACAACCTGAACTATCAAATTATCAGATTCAATTAACTTTTCAATGTCGAATAGATCCCAATACTCTTCAACAACTAAATCACCTCGTTAGCGACACGCCTGATTCTCATATATGGGAACGAAAAAAATTCACTGATCCCTTTTCTTCAACTCTTTGCCAAATTACTCACAGCACAATTATTGAGGCCATTTTTACTTCATTTAGGAATTTCACTCGAAATTTGGTTACAGTTTTGCGACAAACTTACTTTTGGGCATGTTGTATGGTTAAGTATACTATTCCTCCATTGGAAATTAGCTAGAGAACTGTGAGCACTGCTTTAGTATAGTCTCCATTTCTGTTTATGCTATGATTAACATTGTACTCTTTGAACGGACCCTTGGTATCCACTCCCCATATATTGGAAAGGTGTTTGGAGTGTTAAATATGGCATACGTGCGTTTATACTTGCTTAGTACTGACGTTCAAGTAGTCAAACTATTTGATTCAAAGAGTGTTATTATGTGGACTTTGAAATTACAAGTCTCTAGTTACACTGTATATTTGAATGAACATTTTTCTGTTTTAACAAGCTAGATTGTTGATTTACTCATCTCTTATTCAATTAATAAACGTAGAGGACGACGTACTTGGGAGTCATAAGACGTTGAAATTGAATTAGTCGATGCCTTACGATCCATTAGATCTCACTATTACAAGACTCTAGTATTAAAGCACATACAATCAATCAATAGTAAACCACAATTGGATAGCCTAGTCCTTAAAAAGTAGCACCTCAATTCACTTCTGAGTATCATTAATTATAAATCTATTCAACAGATATATGACAAATAACAATCACGTGATCTCAACTCAAGCGATTTTCAAATGATGAAAAATTTCAAATCTTCAAACTTCAAACTTCAAAGTCAACGATTTGAACTTCATGATTGTC